GCGCGGACATTTGTAACAAACGCATCACACTACACTTTTAAGCTAGTGATAGTTGTCCGTCAGGAACATAGTAATAAAAAACGAAAAGAAATATATCTAGGTCAAATTTAGATATGCCAACTTTTGAATTGAAATGTAATCCTTTTTGGATCTCATAATTAGAGAGGAATCGCAAAATTAGAAAAACAATCATACTTTTCTAGTAGTGTTTTACATTCTTGTGTACTTTCAATTCAGCTCTGAAAGTAGGAAGTAAAAGTATTACAGCACTGCAAACACATTATAACACACACACACACACACACACACACACACACACACACACACACACACACACACACACACACACACACACACACACACACACACACACACACACACACACACACACACACACACACACACACACACACACACACACACACACACACACACACACACACACACACACACACACACACACACACACACACACACACACACACACACACACACACACACACACACACACACACACACACACACACACACACACACACACACACACACACACACACACACACACACACACACACACACACACACACACACACACACACACACACACACACACACACACACACACACACACACACACACACACACAAGCCAAAGCCACTGTCAAAGCCACTTCTATTTAAGTTTTATAGCCGGTTTTCTTTTATTGTAAAATCTTATCTAGGTCGATCTGGCGCTGAGAGGTGGAGTGAAGAATCATGAGTGCGCACAAGGAACATGCATGAAAATGGTAATACAGCAGAAGAATGGTTAGTACGAAGATGTTCTTTACCTACTTGAGTAGAAAATAAATTCCATTTTTGAGTCAAAAAATCGAATTTCAGGCATGAGTTATGTGTGGCGAAGCTGTTTGGCGCAATCAAAGAAACAAATCCGACAAGATTGTACACGTGTATCTAGTAGTGAAGGTGAGCTATCAATTAACATCTTTATAACTGTTTGCTCATTTTTCTAAAAACTACTGCTGAGCATAGATTGCCAAGATCTTCTAGTGAAAATTGTAAGAATTTGTAGAGTCTTTATTCGGGCAAAAATAGCTGTCTCTGAGGTTCAACTTTCATAAACAAGCTCTTCCCCTGCAAGGCCACTCATTGTCAGACAAGAAGAAAAAGTATCAAGGACTTTGAAGCAGAGAGTAAATGTGAATAAAATAGACCTGGGTCCTTTTTTTCTAAAATTTCGATGTCATGGATCCGCAAAAATTTTGGGAACCATCTCAGAAAATTCTTCGAAGTGCGTGTTAACGCCACGCCTCGCAGAATTGCTAGGACCGCCACTAGTATATAGTAGTAATATGTGGAAGAAAAGTCCTGTATATCATTCTTACATCAATAAGCCTTCCTTCCTTTTCTTCAGCTTAATTGCTTGATGTTCAGGCAAAAATTACTAAATTTTAGGAAATCTCGAGGTGTGCACATGTGGCGGAAATTTATGCAACTACGCGAACGTTCTCCTTACCTACATCTTTACTATTTATTCTTCTAATTCGATTATTTTTCCTTATGCTATGAGAGATGCTTATTTTGTTTTCAAAATAAAATCTATAAAACTTTGGGTTGTTAATCGTTGCTTTGTTGGAAGACAAAAGTGATTGTTCACTTGTAATGCTAATTTCTTCTACTGTCTACAACGCTACCTCTTGAAGTTATTACTATTGAGGTACTTTCTTAGTCCAGTCCCACACGTGGAGGGGGGGGGGGAGACGTCCTCCTGCCTGAACTGTTTTCTTGCAAAATTCTAAAATTGTTTTTTTTTGAGTTCGAAAATGAGCAAGCAGTTTGAGTGTACAAAAATATTTCTAGAATCAATTGAAAATATAAACATTGGTGTAGTTTCTAAAACCGAGTTCTCTTTGCAGCTTTCTCCGCAGGCGGCCTCTCAAATTCTGAGGCTTTCCTAGTGTCTTTTATTACGTAAAAAAATTCCTTAGAATAATTAAGATGGCGACAGCGACGCAAACCGAGAAAATTATTCTAGCCGCGGTGTTCGCTAGCGGCTAGACATTTCTATTATTGGCTCTATAATTCCTGTTTCACCAAAAACATATTAGGTTGTCTCTTGATTGAAACCCGTTCGTTCGCTGACCTTGTCCTCTATAATTGTTCTGAGCGGAATAAAAACTATGTTGGTTGGTTGATGGTGTTAATGTGTTGATTATTCAACGTTGGTCTCAATAAAAGGTTTTACCAACCTGGGTTAACAGCTGAAAAAAGAAGATCAGAGGAATAAAAACTATTGCAAACTAATTTTCGCTGGATCGTAGCAGTAAAGTTTGGATTCTAGGGAATTTTTCTGCACAAAAATTGAAGGTACCAATCTATTTCAACATTCAGAGAAAGCAAAAAACTGTCTATTTAGATTTTTCCAAATTTTTTTCCTCTATAAAACAAGAAAATCTTTTTCTATCGTTTAGTTGACTAGGTCCACTCTAGTTGTACAGGGCGAAACTATTACCATAGCTATTCGCCCAAGATTGTTTCGCAGAATAAATGGGGCTTAGCAATTAGCCAAGTTTAAGTCAAAATCCTTCAGCTCAGAATTTTTCTACAATTCAGTATTGCATGGCATTTTATAGCACAAAACTTCACAAACATTTTGCATATTTGCTGAAAGAGATTCGATCATTTCATATGGACTTAGTGCAAGAACAGTGAAAGGAAGGATCCTCTCTTAATCGTTTACTTTGAAGGCATGGGACTCATATTCAAAAGAAGTTTGCGAAAACAAAAGTATAGATCAGAATATAATAGAAGAATGGTACCACAAAATTTTTCAAGAAAAATGCTTTAGAAAGTCAGCTTTCTCGAAAAGAAGGCGAACGTGCATCATTTACGAGAACCTAATATAATAATTATTATTGGAATGCCCATCGATAGTACGGTAAGGTTGTAACTTTTCTCCATTGTATGCACTTGCCTTCCACAAATCTTTATCGAACCATAGTTTTCTTTGGTCGAGTACGATAGGGCAAAAGTCAACTATTCTTCAATTATTAACGAAAATTTTTCGACCAAGGTCAGAGCGGAAAATTCATTGAAGCAGTTATAGAGCAATAAACTTAACCAGCTTTACTTCCTTCTTGTTTGAATTTTGCAGCAAGACCCTGACCGGTTTTCGAAAATTTGCCTATTAGAAAACGTTATATTGCAGCTGAAGCAACGAGCTCTCAGAAAATTAAAATACTATAAACTGCGATCCAAGCTTTATGACAAGCTCAAGTTCCGCTATTTTTCTAAAATCTTGTCCTGATTCCCCGAAAAATTTCGAGTAACCTAGGGATAGGGCAGACCTCACGGGATACAATTACCAATAAAACAATTTCTGCCCCTTCTTAGCTTACTTTCCAGAATTTTAGAAAGATTTTTCGATGCCATCGAAGTTCATACTTGCTTGAACCTCGTGGAACATCCTGTTATTCTATGCACCACTTTCTCCTCTTTCAGAGACATGTTTTTTGTTCCAGATTCGAAAATTCTTGGAAGATAAAATAGACATTGATGTTTTTGAAGGCATTCCAAGCTGTGTCCAGCAAATTCAAAATTCGATATTTCGAACTCCGGAATGCTCATTTGTTTTGAAAAATTGTTGCGAAATCCTAATCCACTTTTAAAATTATCAAAAATCGAGATTTTACTGGTGTTTGATGAGTCCGCGTCTATTAAAGGTTTGCTATTCGATGGTGTTGTTAGGAATTCTGTCAAAAAATTATGGCGAGCTATGGGAAGGAAAACAAAATTGTCTTATATCTTATAGGGCCTGCTCTGTTCATTCATTAGGCCTCGGATTGAGTTCACGCGATTTGATCGCCGCTATTCAATCGTTACAAGACAAGTGTTACGGGTTCATTGCATGCCGATTTTCTTGTATTTCGGTTGTGATAGTTAGCAACGATTAGTTATGTTTGAAAACTATCGCAACCGAAATGCAAGAAGACTGGCATGTAATGATATTGAGTTGTCTTGTCGCGATCAGTCGCGACGATCAAATCCCATGAACTCTGCCCGAGGCCTTAGTTGGACTTCTTTGGAGGTGAATGCACAATTTTAAAAAAATAGCTAAACTTGACTCGGTAGAAACCATGGATCGCGGTTTTTGGTGATTTTATGGAGCTCATTTGTTGAAATGCGATTTAAAAAAATTATCTGAAAAAGCATGAAAAATTGCATCAAATCCAGGATCTCAATGAAGGTTTATTGCGGGTTGAGACGCGTGTTTAGAAAACAAACTATTAGGTTGTCCCGAAAGTTTTGTCGGTTTCTTTCATCGCTCACTAAAACTCACAGAACACCTATCCATGGGCGGCTTAGGTACCATTCGATTCAGTTTTCTATCCTCTTTCTTACAGTTATACTTGCTCTCTAATCTGCCCTGTCTAAGCGATGTTATCGCCATGGCTTTCTGAGCAGCTCAGCAATAACGCCAAATCTTTCCTGAATTTTAAAAATTTTTGTTCTGTTGTTTTCAAAGAGCGCTGGTGACCGTTGAGTAGAGCAAACCTTTGGCCACAATGCACCTATTTTAGATTAAGTAAGCCACGTTTATCAAGTTCTGAATAATTATTTATCTGAGAAAAACCGCAGCTTTTTGGTTACGTCTACCACGTAAAATCACCGAAAATTCCAAAAAGCTGCTTTTTCGAAACGAATCAAAGCTGGTTATGTTGCATAAATGATGTTTAGTAAGAAATATGTTTTAATACGCAGAAACTTCAGAAGCTTTCATGTGTTTTATGCGGTTGCGTGTTTCATGACTTCGCCAAAAAGCGAGACCTCCGGAGATTTATTGTACAAGCATACATGATACGTTCATGATTCTACAGTGACTTTCTACAGTAACCACATCGTTGTTATATCCAGTTACCCTACTCCCGCATCCATCACAATTTATGTAGTTACAGTCAGAATCTACGGCTTTATAATTAGTATTAGTATCTGAAATCCTCTATGGAACGGCTACGAGAAACGATAGTGATTTTTACTTCACTTTTAACAAGTAAGCCAAAAGATTGGCTTTTTTTCTAATGAAAGAACACGCATTTTGAATTTAGGTTTGGAAGCAAGTGGTAATAGATGTTATGTATGTACAACAATTGACGCAAACGCTATGTTAAAAGAAATTGCCGATCCGAATTGGCTACGATGGCTTGAAAATGTTCGATATGCACCTTATTCTGAGCAGTGTGCGGATAGCTTTAAGGTAAGCATTTTTTACACCAATTGAACTTTTTCAGTGAGGTCTTTAGTACTACATCTTCAGCAAATTTTCTTTTTATTCACGAAAAATATTTGTTTCGTACAAAAAGTTTTAAGGATTAAGCAGCTTACGCTTTGTAAATTGGTTGCCATTGCTAAATGATATGCTGAATGGAAATTGCAGTTATCACATTAACTCAGCAAAGAAAAAAAGGAACAAAATTCCATTTATCCCCGGACAATAGCATTCTAAAATTACAATGGTGGAAAATGCTGTTACCGCACCTTACGCCTATACTTTAATGCCAAAATTTTTTGATTCTAGTTAAATCTTTATCATTTTTTGCTCTTTCACCTCACGATTGGTTCATGTGGAGATTTTAGAAAAGTTAATCTCGCAATACAAATGAAAAATTTTCAACAAGTATAATATCAAATTCAATGTAACACCAAGTACACAAACGGCGACAACCAGGGTCAAGCTTGTGATGCGACTGTCGCAACGGGGGGTCGTAAGAGGGTATCCAAGGTGGGGGGGGGGGTCGTAAGAGGAGGTAGCTAGGCTAAAATAGCCTAGGCTTAAGAGGGAATCAAAAAACAGACAATTAGTTATGTTCTTTACAATGAATTTATAAAAAAGTGGAAATCAGAATAAAAAAGATAGAAAATCTGTAAAAATTCTCAAAAAAACATTTACAAGAGCTCAAAACACTTTTGAAGGAATATTATTTGATAAAAATGCTAAATGTACCGATTGCCCTAGAAATCTTGTTTCTGAAGCCTTCCTGAAGCCTCACACACTCGACAAAAGCGAATGTCTTTACCAGCTGTGACCATCATAAAATTCTAAATCTTTTTGTAATGCTTTTCACGGGCTCATATGATTTATCTGTACTTTTGAGATGCTCCGCTATAACACTGCAAAATTTGGTGTTATTTTGTCAACTATGGATTTTATTATGATTTTATGTATGGTAGCAAAAAGTCAGGAAAGGGGGGTCGTATCTGGGTCGCATCTAAATTTCTTCGGAGCTATTGAAGCTTGTTGGCTGCAATTCTGCTGTAATATGAGGCCATCCTCCTACCCTCATAAAAATTGCAGGCTGTTTCATAACTCCTCTGGTAAGTTACAAAATTTTAAGCTCAAAAATCCCAGTTTTTGCTTTTTAGGATCGCATCTAAATTTGGGAGAGTCGCATCTAAATTTTTTCGAGCTTACTGCTCCTCAAGAGCTGAAACTTTTTCTATGGATAGTCTGGGCACTATACTGCAGAACCTGTGCTTTCCAGCCTCTCATTGTTTTAATGGCCTTAGTTACGAATTTTCAAACTACCGTGCTCATGCACGTTTATGACGTCGTTCTGGACGGCGCTCAAGCAGTTTTTTTCGCGGGAAAAACTGTGGAAGAGGTAGGAAGTAAGCTTGTTAGTTGAAAACATTTTTTGTAGTTCAAGAATGCGTTTTTTTCTCCGTGCAAAAAATTTGTGTCGTCTACGGGAATCGAATTTGCTGGCCTAGTATGCTGAAAATTCAAAAAAAAAAAGACTTGCAGAATCTCAAACATTATTAGAGGTGTGTTGTGCTGCAGATGATGGACGCACCCACTGGCCTAGAAATTCTGCTTCCGAAACCTCACTGAAGTTCTCACGCAGGTGTTTGAGATTGACATTCGTTTATGCAGGTCACCGCGAGGAATGTGGGCAGGGGAGGTAAGGGGAATAAATGGGTGAAGGTGGGGAGGGGGGGGGGAGAGGGAAAGGGTGGGGGGGGGGGTCGTACGGATGGGTGCCCTCAAAGAGGGGGGGGGGGGGTCGTAAATGAGGGTCCCGGATCGCATCAGCACGCTTGACCCTGGCAGAACGTAGATTCATCAGTGCTGTTCCCATGACATGTAATATATCGGATCGGTGAAACAGGAATTTTTTTCCAAATGGTAACAGCGACGCGAACCGAGAAAATCGTTTTAGCCACAATGTTTACAAGCGGCTATACATTTCTAACGTCAGCTCTCTAATTCCTGTTTCATCAAATACATATTAACTTGCATCATAACTACTGCGTGTTTTCAAGTTGCAGCTCAAATTGAGATAACTCTTTGTCAATGCCATATTTCTGAGCGCAATGAAAAAGGTTACAAACAGGCAGCCACTAGCTATATAACGCATAGTTTTGTTCGATCGTAGCCATTCCGACAAAGATTTTCTGGTAAGAATTCCCGGAAATTTTTTTAGAGAACTAAGAGAGAGCTTATTGCTCTCATGCTAGGATCCTTCCTTTGCTCAGTACATAGCTGATGGTTGTTTGAGCGAATGAGTAAATTGATCTATGGAATTTTTCTGCGAAAATGTATTGCAAGAAATTTGGAAGTACCAATTTTTTTTCGACATTCAGAAAAAGCAAAAAACGGCCTATTTAGATTTTTCTTAATTTTTCTCATCTTTAACAAGAAATTGCGCTTTTCTTAGTAATTCAGTTGCGCTAGGTCCACCCTAGTTGTACGGAGCAAAACTCGTACAATAGCTATTTGCCCAAGATTGTTTTGCAGAATAGATGGGGCTTAGCAATTGGACAAGTTTGAATCAAAATTTCTCAGCTCAGAATTTTTCTACAATTCAGCATTGCTTGGCATTTTATAGCAAAACTTCGCAAACATTTCGCATATTTTCTAAAAGAGATTCGATCATTTCTCATGTATTTAAAGCAAGAAGGGTGAAAGGAAAGAATTTCGCGTTTTATTCGCTTACTTTGAAGGCACGGAACTCCGGTTTGATCGAAGTTTGCGAAAACAAAAGCACAGATTAGAAATTAAAGTGATTGTGTTTTAGGTACCACAAAAAGTTTACAAGAAAAACGGTCTCTAGGTGAAGGGAGTTTTGGTCATTTTCGATCTTGGTAAGTGAAGGGGGTGACTGGGTCTCGTGGTAATTGATGGAACAAGGGTACAGTACATCTTGAGCTGGATGGGAGTGAAAAGGAGGAGAATTACTAGTACAGAGATGTAATATGAAGAACGTTTGAACGCCTTGGTTCTGAGAGGTCATCAAACAGAGACTTTTTGATGCAAGGAAGCTTGTATACATCGACATATTATTCGGGAATCTTGAATCATATCAAATCGCTGTAGATTTCTTTTTTACTAGCTTTTCTAAGAAAGCTAGATATAAGCAATCTTATCTACCTACAACACTAGCTAATCTTATTCGGGTATTGTGCGTTATTTTAGCGAACGGTATTGTTACGGTCTTTAGAAATAGCAGCTAGCGTTTTCTTCCCAAAAATATGCATAAATCATCATAAGTGCTTTATTCTGCCGTTGGCCTTCACAATCCGTTTCAACCTCAAGTGATGGGGGCCATCCTGATACCGGTCCAAGAATGAAGGGGACAGAGCCGCTGCTCCACTTATCGCATCTATGGTTACAGATCAACAACCTTAATGCAGTTTTACTTTTCCTTTGTTTGAATTTTGTAGCAAGATCCTGACCAGTTTTCGCATATTTGCTTGTTAGAAAAGTGCTTCTTTGCAACATCCGATTTTAAAGGATTCTGTTTTTGATATTTTGACTGGTCCGGTTGAAAAATAATTTTTGAAAAGCCTATTGGTTCAGTATCGTTTTAGATATGTTTCCATCTTAATGGTATATTTTTCATTGGATATCAAGCATTGACCCCTTTATTTGTCTTCAACAAATGAGACGATTTGTTTGCTCATCTTATGAAACTTACAGTATACGCCAGTTGTGATGAATTCCGTAATAAAAAAAAGGAACTTGGAAAGTCAGTTCCAGGAACGAAATCTTGTTTTTCTTAACCTTCTATTCTTCTATTTTCTATATCGAATCGGTGAAACAGGAATTTTTTTCCAAATGGTAACAGCGACGCGAACCGAGAAAATCGTTTTAGCCACAATGTTTACAAGCGGCTAGACATTTCTAACGTCAGCTCTCTAATTCCTGTTTCATCAGCCACATATTAACTTGCATCATAAATACTGCACGTTTTCAGTAGTTGCAGTTCAAATTGAGATAAACTCCGGCTCAAACGAAGTTTGCGGGAACAAAAGCATGGATTAGAAACTCGAAGGATTTGGTTTTATTAGGTTGATGCAAAAATAATGGCCGATTTGCGGATTCTCATTTTGACGTGCTATAACTTTCTAAAGGATCCACATTTCTGAATGCGGTAAAGACCATCAGAAGCAGCAAGCCTTGCGCAATACAGCGTATCACTTATACTCGGATCAAAGGGAAGAGACATATGGAATAAAAGACAAAAAAGGTTTTTCTGTTAGAACCTTGTTTTTGAAACTTCCTTCAAAATTTGTCAATACGAATGATATGTGCCATCTTGTAGCCGCAAGGCAGTAGTACAAAATACATCTTGTATACGCAAGGCAGTAGTACTAAATACACTGAAAAGAATTCGGACAAAAAAGCTTGCGAACTCAGTTTTTCCAACATGTTTTCAGTGTGCCTCGAAGTCTCAATTATAAAATTTTATAATTTTCTACGTACTGAACAGCTGGATGTTTTTGCAAAAACTGCTAATAGGATGGCTCAGCCTTACGCTTACAAAATTGAGCAAGTCTTCGGCGATTGACATCTTCAGAAAAAAATTATAGGTCATAAAATGACCGCAACAGCTACCCATGTTTAGGCACTGATTTCTCAGTCTTAATAGCTTCAAATAATACAGTTAAATATGCATAATGTAGACAATTTCTGTTAAATGCAATAGCTAAAGTCTCGAAGAAATGCCATTGATATGCGCTTGAATTCTGGGCAGAAAAGTGAAGCCAATGAAATTCTGAATTTGGATGCAGTTAATTGAAGCCCACTAACTTTTGCATAGATAAGGATAGAAGCCCGCTTCAACAGCCTTCAGATGGAGCATGACAACAACTTCTCAGTATTATGCCATATGTTTTTCAAAGAAGATATTCTGAGGGAAAAAAGTTGCCCTGAAGAGAGGTTTGGAAAATCGGCCGTTATTTTTGCATCAGCCTAATAGTTACCAGAAAAAGTTTTCAAGAGAAACAGTCTCTAGGTGAAGGGAGTTTTGGTCATTTTGGACGTTAAAAAGTAAAAGGGGTAACTGGGTCTCGAAGTAATTGATGGAACAAGCGTACAGTGCATGTCCAGCTGGAGTGGGAGTGAAAAGGAGGAGAATTACTAGTACAGAGATGTAATATGAAGAACGTTTGAACGCCTTGGTTCTGAGAGGTCATCAAACAGAGACTTTTTGATGCAAGGAAGCTTTGTGTACATCGACATATTATTCGGAATCTTGAAACATATCAAATCGTTGTAGATTTCTTTTTTACTAGCTTTTCTAAAAAAGCTAGATATGAGCAATCTTATATACCTACAACACTAGCTAATCTTATTCAGGTATTGTGCGTTGTTTAGCAAACGGTATTGTTACGGTCTTTAGAAATAGCAGCTAGCGTTTTCTTCCCAAACAAAATGTGCGTAAATCATCATAAGTCAATTTCAATCTCAAGTGAGCGGAACCATTTAGATACCGGTCCAAGAATGAATGGGGCAGAGCTGTTGCTCCACTTATCGCATCTATGGTTACAGATCAATAATCAAAATGCAGTTTTACTTCACCTTTGTTCAAATTTTGTAGCAAGATCCTGTCCAGTTTTCACAAATTTGCTTGCTAGAAAACTTGCTTCTTTGCAACACCCGATTCAATGAATTCTGTTTTTGATTTTTGATTGGTACGTTGGAAACTAATTTTTGAAAAGCCTATTGGTTCAATCTTGTTTAAGATATGTTTCCATCACGGTGGAAAATTTTTCATCGGACATCAGGTATTGAAACATTTATTTGTCTTCAACAAATTAGGCGATTTGTTTACTCATCTTGTGACACTTACAGTATGCGCCAGTTGTGATGAATTCCGTGATAAAAAAAAAGGAACTTGGAAAGTCAGTTTCAGGAACGAACTTTTGTTTTTTAGCCTTCTTTTTTCATGAAGGACAGAATCTAGCAACCATTAACACATGTTAAGTGATTCAAAAAATCCTTTCAGAAATTCCAAATGCTATTATTTCCAAGTGATCATCATGTTAGCGTTGTATTTATGCACATATCTGCCAAACTTGCCGCTTAAAGCAAGAAGGGTACGATTTTGTAGGAAAAGCTTTTGATAAGTCTTTTAGATATCTGCCGGTTTCATTATAAGCCCTTTTGTACAAGCATCAACTAAAATTTGCAAGGTAACTCGAAAAAGGGAAATTGCTGGCTTAACAGTGTTTGCAGTGCTGTAGTACCTTTACTTGCTACTTTCAAAGCTGAATTGAAAATAAGCAAAGATATGAAACACCACTAAAAAGTGTAATTGTTTTCTAACTCTGCGAATTCCTCTCTGATTATGAGATCCGAAAAAGGATCGCATTTCAGTTCAAATGTTGGTATATCGAAATTTGGCCCAGATATATTTCTTTTCATTTTTATTACTACGTTCCTCACGGACAACTACCACTAGTTTAAAAATGAAGTGTGGTGCGTTTGCTACACATGTCCGCACTCTCTTTTCGGCGGCTGTGGTCTCCCCAAATAGGCATTTGGATTTCAGTCCGTCAAGCTTGCAGAATTGTAGACATGTCCTCTTATCGTAGTTATAGCAGTGCTGAAACGGGAAACTTTGTTACAAAATAACGCTTAGTTTTGTCATAGGTAAATTCAATAGTCGTTTAAAGAATTTCGACTCTTTTGATCTATCGCCATACTCGCGGAACAAAGATATGTTAAAGTTCTCGGTAACATTCGATGTAGTTTTCCATACTCTTTCAAATGATAATTTCTATATTGCAGTGCAACAGATGAGCTCTCACAAAATTGCCAAATACCACGACCCATGGTTTTTATCAGGGCGAAGTTTCGCTATTTTTTCAGAATTTTATACTGAAGCTCTGAAGTAGCCCAAATAGCAGATAATAATTTGAGCAAACCTTTAGCATACAAAACAGTTTCATTGCCTGCCCTAGTTTACTTTCCAAAAATTTTAAAATCATTGCTGTGATGTTATCAAATTCCATACATGATCCACTTAAATCTCACAGAACATCAACAGGCGAGCAGCTCGGGCGTTTCTGATGCAACATGTACTCCTCTAGGGATTTTATTCCCGTGTCGTAGAGTCTTGATACAATCAACAAAATCCAATTTTTTAAGGCGCCCCAACCTGTCCAAGATTTGATGTTTCTGATCCCGAAACACTCATTTGTTTCGCAAAATTGCTGAAGTGCTAGATCATGATACACTTTTGAAATTATTAAAAATCGAGAATTTATTGGTGTTTGACGAGTCTACGTCTGATGAAGGTTTGCTAAAATTCGATTGTTTTGGTCAAAAATTGTGTCAAAAAATCAGAGCGATCTATGGGAAGAAGAACAAAATTGCTTAGTATCCTACATATGAGGCTTGCTCTATTTATTCATTACTTGGACCTTTTTGGGGGTCAGTAGCAAGGTTTAGAAAAATAGCGAAACTTGACCTTGGTAGAAAGTATGGGTCGCGGTTTTCGGTGATTTTATGGGGGCTCATTTTTTGGATTACTTTGAAAATGATCATCTGAACGAGCATGAAAAGTATTATATTAAATGGTACCAAGATCTTCCATAGACGTTGCTTCCGCGGATTCAAATGAAACGAAATTACTTTCAGGACGATCTAATGTCTCCTATACTATGAAACGATTGTCAAAGCTACTTCTATTCAAGTTTTATAGCCGGTTTTCTTTTCTTGTAAAATCTAATCTAGGTCGATCTGGCGTTGAGAGGTGGAGTGAAGAATCATGAGTGCGCACAAGGAACATGCATGAAAATGGTAATCCAGCAGAAGAATGGTTAGTACGAAGATGTTCTTCACCCACTTGGATAGAAAATAAATTTTATTGGGTCAAAAAATCGAGATATTTCAGGTATGAGCTATGTGTGGCGAAGCTGTTTGGCGCAGACGAAGAAACAAATTCGACAAGATTGTACACGCGTGTCTAGTAGTGAAGGTGAGCTATCAGTTAACGCCTTTATAACCGTTTGCTCACCTTTCTAAAAACTAAGCCTATGACACGCTCCCTGCCCCGAAGTATATGTGTGCCAAGTTTGGTCCAAATCGGTCCAGAAATAAAAATTTCTATTCCGCACATACGTACAGACAGACATACATACAGACAGACATTCAACTTTATATATAAGATTGTAAGAATTTGTAGAGTCTTTATTCGGGCACAAATAGCTGTCTCTGAGGTTCAACTTTCAAAAACAAGCTCTTCTCCTGCAAGACCACTCAGACAAGAAGAAAAATTACCAAAAAACTTTGAAGCATAGAGCGAATGTGGAAAAAATAGACCTGGGTCCTTTTTTCTAAAATTTCGGGGTCAGAAGACCGCCGAAGTTTTGGGAACCATCTCAGAAAATTTTTCCAAGAGCGTTAACGCCACGCCCCACAGAATTGCTGCGGCCGCCACTATTATCCAGTAGTGATATATAGAAGGAAAGTCCTGAATATCATTCTTTCCTCAATAAGCCTTCCTTTCTTTTCTTCAGATTAATTGCTTGATTTTCAGGCTATAATTAGTAAATTTTAGGAAATCTCGAAGTGTGCACATGCGGCGGAAATTTATGCAACTACTCGAACAAGATCTCCTTACCTACATCTTTACTATTTATTCTTCTAATTCGATTATATTTCCTTGTGCTATGAGATAAGCTATTTCCTTTTTTGAATAAATTCTATAAAACTTTATGTTTGTGTTGGTAGTTGTTTTGTTGGAAGAAAAAAGTGATCGTTCATTTTTAATGCCAATTTCTTCTACTGCCTACAACGCTACCTCTTAAGTTATTACTGTTGCGGTACACTCTTACTTGTCCAGTCCCGCACGTGAAAGGGGGGGGGGGGAGACGTCCTCCTGCCTGAACTGTTTTTTTTGCAAAATTCCGGAACTGGGTTTTCTGAGTCCGAAAATGAACAAGCAATATGAGTCTAAAAAAATATTTCTAGAATCAGTTGAAAATATAGACAGTGGTGTAGTTTCTAGAACCGACCCTCTCTTCAACTTTGTCAGCACTCTCTAAAATGCTGAGGCTTTCCTGTTGTTTTTTAGTAGGTAAAAAATTTCCGTGGTCGCATTTCCAAAAGAATTCCTGTAACAAAGCTTATTTCTTTTGTGTGCACCGAAAATAGCCTAATACAAAATTATTAGAAGAAAAAGCTGCAAATATTTTTTCACTCATACTATTCAAAAAATTCAAGCTGAAAGCAGCGCAAGAATTCGTATAATCAAGCAGTCAATAATGGTCCTTTGTTCAAACTTTGTCGTAATCATCTATCTTGGCTGAAGTGGGTGTGTAGGATTGGGATTTGGTGAATGTTATTACATTTAGGTCCTCTCTTTGTCCACTCCCGCACGAGGGGGGGGGGAATCTCCTTTTGCCTAAATTGATTTGTTTGCAAATGGAATTGTGTTTTTTGAGTTCGAAAATGAACAAGCAGTTTGAGTCTACAAAAATATTTCCAAAATCAACTAAAAATAAAGACAGTGATGTTTCTAAAACCGAATCTCTCTTCAACTTTGTCCGCAGGTGCTCTCTCAAATTCTGAGGCTACCCTAGTGTACTATCACGTCAAAAAATCCATGATCGCATTTCTCGAAAGAATTTCTGTAAGAAAGCCTACTTGGCTTGTATGTGTAATGAAATTAGTCCAGTACAAAATTATTACATGAAAAAAACAGCAAATATTTTTTTATTCACACTAAATTCAAAAATTCAAGCTGAAAGCAGCGCAAGAATTCGTATAATCAAGCAGTCAATAATGGTCCTTTGTTTAAACTTTGTCGTAATCATCTATCTTGGCTGAAGTAGGTGTGTAGGATTGGGATTTGGTGAATGGTCAAGCAAGCACGTAAAAATCAGCGACCATGATGATTTTTCAATTTTGTCTACCCATTGCTTCGTGGTAAAAACTCCCTGCTTCAACGCGGACATAAGAAGCGTGGCGAGCAAGACGAACGATCCGCAGGTTTAGGCTTAGGCTTCGTAATAACATGAAAGGGCTTTATTGAATTTATGGATTTTTAAGGATTTTAAACTCGTGTTTTAACGTAGCATTTTTCATAAGAGACGTAGTTAGACAAAAGATAGATAGAGCTGTAGTTTGCTCCGAAAAAAATAACATTTATTACAATTACGTTTCTTACAGAAACAATTCATAACTTGCGTTTTCATAACTGCACATTGAATATGGCAAAAAAGAATAATATGTACCTACTCTCTGTATGAAATGTAACGAAACGAAAACAATAAGGCGGTTTTTAATGGAACCGAGCTAATGGCAGTACAGAATGAGTGTACTTACAGTCAACTGCTAGAAACCTTAACATTCGAATGCTACGACACAATAGATTATCAATTATTGTGTTGTAAATTCATCGCCTACTTAGCAAAGAACGATACCTTCTGGCTCGACATGTATTTGAACATTGGCATTTGCGAACAATCGTGACTACGGTGTGTCTGGAAAAATAGACAAAACCGTAGATTATTGTATTTATTATAGAAGTGCAAGGTAGACTTACATTTGCTCATTGCTGCAGAGCATTTTTAGCCTCCTCCGTTTTCTTTTTACAGCTGCACAGCAGTTTTGAATATACAAAAATTTATATTAATGCGTAGAAACTCTAATTCTCTAATTTACATTGAAGAAATTGTGAACGCAAAAATTTACTCTTCTTTGCTCGTAATGGGCAGTGACAAAGCAAACAAAAAAAGCTTTTCAAAATACTACTCAATTTACTCCTTTGATTACTAATTTGAAATCTTTACCATGTCATTCGGCAATCTCCCTCACAATCGTAGGTGCGATAGGGGGAGCAGGTTCCTCTCCAGGTGAAGGGGGTTTTGGCTATTTTCGATCTAGAAAAGTGAAGAGGGTAACTGAGTCTTAAGATGAATGCTGACGCAGCTTGCATTCCTAACAGTAGCGGGAGTGAAAAGAAGAAAAATAAGCGCTATAGAGGTGTAAAATGAAAATTTTCTTAATGCTCAGGTCATCGAAGGTCATCTAATAGAGACTTGTTTTGACTTGGGAAAGCTTTGTGTTTCATAAGTCGGCATACCATACGAAAGCTTGAGACATATAGAATCGACGTAGACCGTCTCTTTTTTTCCAGCTCTCCTGTGAATACACATATAAGAAATCATATGTAGCTTCGACAACAATTGATTTTATGCAATCACTTTACGCCCCATTTCTGAGAGAAAGAGGAGAGCTAGAAAAAAAAGAGACGGTCTACGTTTTGGGCAAGGTCTTGCTCTATGCTACTGTTAGAAAATCAGGCACCTTCACTCATTCTTCACGCAGGAATTTCTTGACAAAAACACACATGTTTTTAGCTAAAATGCCATGTATCTTCAGGTAGAGGGGAGCTAGAGAAAAAGAGACGGTCTACGTCGAATCCATTCTTCGTGGGCTTTCTAACGGTATACAGGTGAAAAAATTTGTGGCTTTTCAAAAATGAGGTGGAGATATCCAATGCTAACTTGCTCGACCCTGCTCCGGCTTTCTATGGGTAGCAGGAGCAAGAGTTTTTCGGATTGGGAAAGCTTTATTCACCAAAACTTTGTATACCATTCAATAGCTAAGAACACGAGGAATCGACGTAGACCGTCTCTTTTTTCCTAGCTTCTTTGTGAAGCGAGATAGGAGCAATTTTACCCAGCTATAATATCAGTCAGTGAGTAATTATTTTTTCAGACCAAGAAGTTTTTTTTCGAAGTTTATATATGATTCGAAAGCGTGAGAAACGAGCAGTCTGAATGCCCTTTTATTTGTAATTATTCTCTCTAGTGAAAGGAGATATAGTACGATTCTTGTCAGTAAACATGCATCCATCACTAGCTAGTCCAGATTTTCTACTCATGCTCAACTCTTTCTGTGACAGTGTGTACTCATTGATACAATGTTAATTATTCAAAGAATCAGTCATACTTCTAATTTTCGATTATGTTTCGTTACTAACGCCACTTTGAGTGCGCTGAAGGTCTCAAGCATGCGTTTTTTCAACAAAACGCTGCTACTTCGATACTCTCTTGTAGTCGTGTTGTCTGAGGAGAAGAGAGCTGGCTTCCCTTTCCGAACACAAAATGCCGTTGTAACAGCTGTTTGATTATGCCGTTGTGCCTTGATTCTAGTCTCAACCCTAGGTGAAAGGGGTCAACCAGATGCCGGCCCTAAAGTGAAGGGGGTCAGAGAAATTTTTCCACCTATCGCATCTATGCTCACAATGATGCTTCGAAATTTCTCCTTATTGCATGTACTCCTCAAAAATCCAGCAACCTATGATTTTTGGATGAGGAAAAATAGAAATTTCCGTACGATTTTGGCAAAATTCTCCAGCAAAACCTTGCTCACAACGGCAACTGAATCCACGACTTGATGTCGCATTTGTTTCGAAACTTCCTCTACCACCATCCACTACTTGAAAAGATTTTACATCAGAAGAAGGACGTGAGTTATTTCTCAATAAATTTCACCTGAGCAGAGATCAACAACACTTGCGCAACCATGCGTTATTTTTTCTTTTTCTACAGCATTTTCAAAATCCACAGCCGCATCGTTTACAAAGATATCGCTAATGCAGCCTTAAATAAAATTTGGTTTTTATTCACCTGATAATAGAGTGGAAAACCTCACCTTCAAAAATACAGGGTGTCCTAAAAAAATGTGAACACTGTTTAATCGTTAATAACTCCGTTGCTTTCATGTCCTTCGCCGAGCTTGAGACACCATTCTGTAGAGCGAGGTTCAACTTGAATTTGAAGTATGAAGCGAGTCACTGATCGCTCTTCGTTAATTTATGATTATGGTATGAACTTCCAACATGTGGATCCGTTTGAAGTATGCCATTTGATGGAATTTATTTCCAAAAATTCTAAAAAATCGTGTAGTAGGGAATTCACTCACGCTGATTCCACTACACGACTTTTACGAGTGTTTTTAGCTTTTTTGACGGTGTAATCACACTTTTGACAAATCCTGGAAATTCAATTACTACGGTTTACCTGGGCTAAACTTGTAAAGAAGCATCACAATGAAGTGGAAATTTCATAATCAAAATCGGCAGCTTCCATTACCATAGATTAAGAGTTTCTAGCTTGTTTGGTTTTGTTCCGAGGCATAAAATGGCCTCCAATGTTTTAAAACCCTTGTCGAAGTTCCTACCGTAATCCTACAGTAATGAAGAGCGGTCGACGATTCGCTCCATACAGTATGTCTAAGTTAAACATCGCTCTATAGAATGATAGCCAAAGTTCGGCGAAAGACATGAACGCAAGGGAGTTATTAACGATCAAACAGTGTTCACATTTTTTTGGGACACCCTGTATATGATTCTTTCACATGAAACAACGATTTTACAACAGCAGCTCCAGTCGCAGGTAATCCACCGACGTATAATTATTGTTTCTTATGTATAGAGAAATTTTCTAGCCTTCCATTGTTTTCAACTGATTGTACCGGCTGGTCATCAGTTGTCAAGGAACATTTCTTTCCTTGTACGATGATGCCGATTCGATGTGCCAAGCCATCGTTTACTGTAAGAATAGATTTCATTTGAAGAGTAGAAAACGCGCCACAAAATGTGGGACTGCGGCGATCCAGATCGGTGCAACTAACGTATGATATTGTTTGCAAAAGGGCCGAAG